GCCGTTTTCTTGAATTTTCAATCAGCAGCAAATCACTGCATGAAATCAGCAACACAACATTCATATTGTTACAAGTGAAAATGCACAGTTAGTTCTCCGTCCGTCCGTGTTGTTTCCTTTAGCAAACTGAATTCCATTACGTCTGAACATTCCATAATTCATATTGTAATATATCGCTCGCTGGTTCAACTACCCAGAAGCAAATTTCTTCGAAAGCGATTTTTGTGCTTTTCATTTTTGAGCTCTGAATGCATGCATATGGTTGATGCACATTACATCATCTCAACAACGTCTTCGCAACATTGCATTCGCTGAACAGTTTACCAAAGACAGTCCACGAAATCTAGTCGAAATTATTCTCCTATTGTCTTTCCTTTTCCACCACGAATTTCCACGAAACACTTCGAAATGAGTCCTCCAGATAGTCCGAAACCGTCATCGGTGTCCAAATGGCTCCGAAAAATCACTCATTCACTTAAGAACAACCATCATGATAATCATCATGATTCTCAAAGTAGCGCTGAAGTACGTTTATGAGTTATTGCTTTTTCAAATGGTTTGGTTGCTGAAAACCGCCGATCTTGTCTCTTAAATTTTGCTCAGACCGAGAATATTACCATAAACAATGGTGAACTCTTATCATCGCATCAAATTTTCAGCTCACTAAAATTTCAATATCCTTACTTTCTTGCAAAGGATCTAATTTCAATGTTGTTCATGTAATTAATCGTTGTGTTCAGATTAAGAATCATAATATTCTTATAAAAAATCAAGATATTTTCTTTGGGAATCATTTCAGTCTTGTAATTGTGGTGTAGTTCATATGAGCTCTAAATGCATATGGTTGATTCAACAATAAATATACATTGATCATTCATATCTGATCTAAAGTCGATCATAAATCTGTATGTTCAGGGTGGTCCAAAAGCCGAAGATTTACCGGAACTCAGACATCCGGGAGTCGAGATGAGGACCACGCCAACCGGCGCTAAATACAAGAAGATCGACTATGAAATTGTCGATTCATCGCAAATGCCGAAAGAAACGGTTGACCAAGAATATACAACGAAATGGACGTTCGATGAGGTTTGCTGACTGACTGCTCTTCGTTTTCATTCATTTTGAATAAATTGACTAGAGCTGATAAAACCTCCAAGCCACTGAATACTTCATTTATGAAGCTCATTGAAAAACCCAAAATTCATACAATCAATTCAGTGATTTTCCTTTGAATATATGCAATAGATGTTCGATGGAAACAAAAATGTAGTTGGTTAGTTCTGATAAAAATCTTAAAGATCTTAAATCACCGGAACTTTCCCGCATCCAATTCCTTTAAGCTAACCAATTCTCGGTGAGAATGAAATGTTCTTGAGAACCCTTTATCGACGGTTTTTCCTCTATCATTTGCAGCTCAGCATTTAAAAGGCCTAGTAACTGAGTGAATTTCATAGTTGCGAGTCGTAAGAATGTGGATTTTTAACAGCCCACTTCTACGGAATATGCATTGTCGTTCAGTGGTTATCCTAGTAATTCTAACTGAAAAAAAATTTTTTTTCATTTCATTCTGCGCAATTAAGCGACACGAACGAACGCATC